CTCAGCTAATATATAGCTGAGACTATAGTCTCACCTAAATATACCGTGCCCTCCCTTTAACGCTAACCCTAACCCTAACCCTAACCCTAACCCTAACCTCTCTACCCGTAACCCTAACCCTAACCCTAACCCTAACCCTAACCCTAACCCTAACCCTAACCCTAACCCTAATGTAAATATAGATATAGATATAGATATAGATATAGCCCATTCTCGATTGTCTGATTGTACTACTTTACCTCTACCTCATTGTACAAGGTATATTATATACTTAAGCAACTTTCCGAATGCTTAGTTTTTTATCTTTTTGAAAAGCTTCGATAGCTAAGAGTAAACATGCTTCTTTATTTGTAGATTGTATAATAAATAATTGATAAAACATAATATATTTCATTATTTTATACACTATATTACTTTATATATCATTTTCATCTTAATTCCTATTTATAATCATATATAATTCAACAATTACTTGATCAATTGATTTAAACTAAATATTATCTAATAATTTAGGATCTATATTATCATTAGAACATATTCTTGTATTATAACCTGTTATTCTATATTTACTACAGTATCAATTAATCGATATCTCTCTATTAGAATTCTGTTTATTTTATTGTTTATTATATTTAATCCAAATATTCATCTTTTTTTGTAATATAATATCATTAATCTTTTGAATAATAAGAACTTTTCCTAAACATAATTAAAATCTTTTTAATATAACATGGTTTATCAGTGTGGTCGGACATATCAAATGGGTCGAACACCTTTTTCCTCAATTTATCACTTTAAAACTATATTATTCAATAACAATTGGATGAATCGATTGAAACTATTAAGAATCTAATAAACTAGCATCTATTGCATTATTTTGACAGGTTCTTGAATTATGACCAGTCTTTCCACACTTACTACAGTATCGACTAGTAAATGATTCCCTATTAGAATTTCCCTCATTTTGACGCTCGTCGCGTTGAATCTGATTATCAACCTCTTGTTGTGATAATATATCTTCAGCTTCTTGTCCAGTAAGTACTCCTCCATTATGTAGTTGAATTTTTTTAATATGTCGATGTTTATTTAATACTTCATTTGCTCTTCGAAGTATACGATTCTCAACATTCAAAAATGTAATTTCATATACCAATCTCTTTGTACCTTTAACTAAAGCTTGCACAGTCTCAAATATAGGTGTAGGAGAGCTTGATTGATGATGAGTTATTCGAGCTTTTACTAGAGTTGATTGTAAAAGAGCCTTAGTTGGATTGTGAGGGGTTTGAGAGATCCAGAAATTGGTAAGTTCCAAGAAGGTAGATGGAGGGGTAGAAGTACGAATCCTAATATCTAGTTTTGAGAGTATAGATTGAGGATCAAATAATATTAGACCTGCTTCTCGAAAACCAGTTTTTATATTCTGAATAGTAATCGATTATTGATATGCAGCTTTGAAAGCTATAAAAAATTCAACCTTAGAAATATGATTGATATAAGCCTTAATAAATCCTTCAATTTGACAACTATATAAACATTTGAGTACACTAAAACATCCAATATCAAATGGTTGAGTTAAGTGACTTGAATGCAATAGTAACTTTATGTATATAATATCGTTTGACTTACAATATGATTTGGAAAGGGTATCGATTCGTGACTTTCATACCCATCCAATACTAGCATTCGATATTTGCCCTTTCTTCGTTGACTAGTATGCTTATCGAAATACTTTAATCATTCTAAACCTGTCTCATTATTCGTCCATCTATTAGAAGTAGGTTTAATAGCCCAATCTACAGGAAAATCACTCTCTGTATACCAATTAGAAAGGTGATATTGTCCTTGTACCACTAAAAATGATAGTATAGTTTCACCCTCTTCATTATTATATATAATCGCTGTAGCCCACTCTCGATTGCCTAATTGTATTGTCTTGCTTCTGCTATTTCGTTCAACATTAATTACAATCATTCCAGGGCATATTATACCCATCATAAAGCCTGTTTCGTCGAAATTGTAGAAATCGCAATCCTGAATCCTATATTTCGCCTACATATTCGATACCAATCGAAACCATTCTTCAATAAGCTCTAAATCTTCACAAAAAGCTCTTTGAAAATCATAGATACAATTAAAACACATCTTTAATTCTGAACATCGTTTTACAAAGTGATGAGTCCAGAGCTTTCCAATCTTCTTCGCACCCTGTGTTTCGAGCATATAATTCGCCATATCTTCCACACTATTTAATTTAGGGGCAAATCCTCTATCATCCATATCAATAATGTATTGAATAAGCACCTCCTCTTTTAATTCAGTCAAATTATGACTTTTTGGTCGACTTTCAGCTATATTACTACAACCTTGAATTCTGTCGAATAATGTAGATCGAGGCATACTATAGTAATTAGTAGCTTTTCGAATCGTTAATCTTTTGTTCAATTCGATAGCCTCAATGGCCAGGACTATTCGTGCTTCTTTTGAATGAATTTCCATTAATAACTATTGAATAAACGCGTATTGAAGTGAGAGAGTAAAGGATATTGAAAAAGTGTCCGACCCACTGATAAACTACGTTATCGATGTTTACTTAATCCCATATTTACCAATCGAAGATCGTGATTCTCGAAAGCTAAAATCGTGACAATACTACTTAGGTATTCTATATCTTTAATTAAAGAATCTGTAGCCTTAAATATAGATATAAAAGAACTAAAATAATATTGAACAATAATAGATCGTACTAAAAATACTTGTGAAAGAGCTTCGATGGTATTGTGAGGTGTTTGTGAGATCCAATCGGGTATATGACTCAGAGGAAACGAAGGAGGAATAGATATACAAATTCGAATATCTATTCTAAAGAGTACAACATCAGGATTAAAAAGGATTAATCTTATTCTTCTAAAGTTTGCTTTTATATTTTCTATTATAATTGCTTATTTATATATAATATTGAATATTATAGAGAATTTGATTTTGAAGATATAATTGATATATATTTGTATATATCCCTCAATTTGTTTGCTATATATACGTTTTAGTATATTAAAACAACTAATATCAAGAGATTAGATAAGATGATTCAAATAAAGTAGTAATCCAATAGTTTTAATCTTATGTTCTATACAATAATTCTGAAAAGGATCTGATTCATAGCTTTTATATCTATCTAAGACTAGCATTCGATATATACCCTTCGTTTGGAGTTTCATATACTTATCAAAATGCTTTAATTATTCTAAACCTATTTCATTATTCATTTATCCATTTATAATAGTTTTAATTATCCATTCAGCAAGTATATCCATCTTGCTGTACCAATTGGCTAGATGTATTTGTCCTTGAATAAAGAGATATGGAGGTATATTCTCCCCTGTCGCATTACTATATACAATCGCTATCGACCATTCTCTATTGTCTAACTATATTCCTTTACTTTTGCTACATCTATCTACATTAATAATAACTATATTAAAGAATATCACTCCTATTATAAAGCCTATTTCATCAAAATTCCATATATTGCATTCTTATATTCTATATTTTGCCTTTATATTTTTGAATAATTGAAATCACTTATTAATAAGCTTAGGATCCTTGCAAAGAGCCTTTTGGAAATCGTAGATACGATTAAAACATATTTTTAGAATATTATATCGATTCACGAATCGATATGCTTATTGTTTACCAATACACTTTCCACCCCTCGATTCAAGAATATGATTCGCTATACTTTCAACACTTATGAATTTAGGACTAAATCCTCGCTCATCCATATCGATTATATGCTGAATAATAACCTCCTCTTTAATTTTAGTAATTTTATACTGTTTTTGACGATATTCGAAGGCAGGAGTGATCCCTTTCATTCTATATATGAATGTTGTATAAGTAATATTGTAAATCTTGGCAGCTTTCCGAAGGCTTAAATTTTTATCTTTAGCCATTGCCTCCATCGCCATAACGATATCGCATTCATTTAATGTCGATACCATAATTATTTATTGATAAATCGCGTATTGAAGTGATTGATGTGAATTAAGATGAAAGTGGTGCACGAGGTGATATAGTGCACGGGGTGATGAAACACGTTATGTTGAATATGAAGAGTGTGAATTGAGGTGAAAGTGGCCCACTCAGTGATAAATTACGTTAGTATTTATTCTCAATATTAATATAAAATTTTTAGAATTAATAAAGTAAATAAAATCAATTTGAAAAAAAAAGATAAATAATAAAATGATATTAAAACATAATCGAAATAGAGGGTCTGAGGATGAGATAAGGTAGGTACTGTGTAAAACATAACAGTAATTGTGTGAACGAAGTGAATGACTTCAATTCAATTACTACTGTAATAAAGAACTAAGCGAACGCGAAAGAGACTAGCTCTTTTAGTAAGTCTATATAAGACTTACTACTTTCAATATGTAGCTAGCTCTTTAGACAGAATACAATTAGACATACAGGACCTACGTAATCCGTGGGTGCTACGTCTTCCGTATCCTTCTCGTACCAACAGTAATGATTGTTTAGCGATAAATAAAACTGGATGATAGAATTCCAAATCGTGAGGTTAAGACGCATCGATTCTCAACAAGAAAAGAGTGCATAATAATGGTGGATGGAGAATGGGGAAGAGAATAAATATATTAACGGCAAGGAATAAAATCACTTGGAGAATAGAGTCACGCAGTAGATGAAAAACAAGCTTTATTTGCCCAATAACGTGATAACGTGATAACCTTTATTAAATAATAGATCAGCAAGACATAACACAAACATTAAATAATCAGATTGAGCCTCTCATAAAAAGACCCAGAAAGTAAAACTAGTATCCTAAACACCTCGATGAGATTTCAAAACATCCACAGTAACCGACCAAGCCTTCAACTCTTCAGTATTCATCCTCGATGGACATTAAAGGTGGCTATTCCTTCCATTTTCATACTATGACTCCGAACCCGCCTCATAACTAGCCAACAGTAAAAAAGCTAGGGATATTTTATCAAGTGAATGATCTCCGAGTACTTAAAATCCATACAATTCGGCAACGGCCAGAATATTAGACGAGATTCAAGATGAATGTGGATTCTAAGACGATAACATTTCAAAGAGTCATCCTACCTTTATGCTATCTCTGAGACACCCCATATTTATATATTGCTAGCGGCTGCTGCTGCTGAAGCCATCTGTGCCAATAAGGTATGTTCAACAGATACTCTTCTTTCTTGCTCCGGTTTCTGTTGCGGTGATTTGACTTGCAAGGTGGCAGCGACAGTAGGAGGCTGATTGTTAGTTTCCAATGTATTCTGAGAACGTAGCTCAGCTTCCAGACCAGAAAGCATCGACATGTGTTGTGTATGAACCTAGAACATTGGAGAGTTAACAATTGTCAAATGTACAGTATAATAAAAACAAATTGACCATTGATGTGTTCGGAAAACTTACTGGAACCTGTCTGCTCGATCCACTTGCTCCAATAGTAGTAATACCACCACTAGTACTTGCTAAATTTGATCGCTCTGGCGTATGTTTCTTATCGACGATTAACAAACCATCTTCTGATGCAGCTGGAGAGTCTCGCTGCGTTAGAGCAGATGCTGTGGCTTCAAGTTCCCCATCTTTGACATCCTTCCAAGAACACTTAGCATGCTTCTTTGTGCATGCAGCACAAGCAGTCATATGCTTGGTACACGTGAATCTTAATCGTCTGCATCGATCGCATGGTGGCGTAATGGGATCTCCTTTGTGTAGTTTCTCAATCCTGGCAGCCATTAAGACTCGATATTGCCCTTCGATGCCGTCATCAGAATTAGATGGTGGCTGCGATACTCGCTGATGATCAGAACTTTGAGGTGCACCGTTGAAAGAATGAAAATTTGTATGTTCAGAAGTGTGAAGTCGAGGTTGCTTCGATCTTGGCTGAGATGGTAGGGACTGGCGACGATTTGGGCTGTGAAATTGCTCTAATAGATCCTGCTGCAACTTGGCTGTCTCACCATTAAGGGAAGCAGGTGATCGGCTTCTATTAATCGCAGAAAATGGCTGAGATGCAAATGAGAGAGGAGATTCAGAAGGTTGTTCCGGAGACTTTTTCGCCAGGATAGCATTCTTTCTTCCTTTCAAATGGTAGTTGAGTTGTCTCGCTCGACTTGCGACAGCATCAGCTTTTTTGATCAACATACTAAGACGATTCTCGAGAATGAGTAGAGTGCCGAGCTCAGAGGTCTCATCCTCCGGCATAGGTTGACTTGGAATCATCCTTTCCGGAGCACCTGACATGATCAAACGATAATCGTCTTCAGATATTTCAATCTGCCCTCCATTAATCCAGAATCGACAAACTTTCACGCCATGCAATGATTCGGTGAGAATGAAGTCTGCTGGATTACTCCGAGCGAAAGAGACAATCTCTAACCAAGTAATGGGCGTTTGTTCAAGGGCATAGGAGCTTTGAATGACTTTGATTGGGCCGTCAAAAAGCTTTTCAAATGACTTCAAAAGTAGAGGACCAACTAGTTTGGCGCCGAGATTAGATGCTAGACTTTCGCGACGTTGAAGGACGCCTACTTCAGTTAGCAAGGCTCTTCCCTAAATCCTCACAGGCAAGCAGAATTCCCCACCGAGCGGGAGCGAAATCACGTGATAAATACACACCTTCGTATTCGTCCAACATGCTCAAAACATCTCCGAAAGTTTCGGAATCTCCCTCGACCAGTTTAAGTCTATCGCTCCTAGCTTTCACCAAATAGTTGATCTGCGCAGCAGCCGTTGGAGTTGCATTGTCGCCCAGTCGAGGAGCTTGTGTTATCCGTCCATGGCTCTGACTTCCAGAACTTTCCGGACTACGTTTTCGCTTTTCGCCCTGAGTTTCCGTTGTAAGTTCCATGACTATGGTTTGGAGATAATTTGTATGAGATTGCGGACTTCCAATTGGAAAGTATATGAAGTGAGTATGTGTGTATGTGTATATGTGTACGTGAAGGAAGAAGATGAGCGGAGGTGAAAGGTGGAGAAATGGGAGAGGCGGAGAGCTGACAATAAGTTGTCGAGAACAAAGGAAGGGATGAGCAGAGGGATACTTTTAATGTTTCAAGACAGTTGTGGCATTTGAAATACACAGGGGACCAAAACAGGATGCGATGCGATTATTGGTAAAGCAGAGTTTGGATTGGAGGGAGAGCGATGGGGGTGATGGGGGCGATGGGGGCGATGGGGAACAATGCGGATTTGTGAAGGAAACTCTTTGCACAAAGCGGAAGATGGACCTCCGCTGGGTCGCGCTTTCGCTTTCATAGGATTACTTTTACACGTGACGAAAGCCTTTTCTGCCGCCTTTCCTGCCTTTTCGTGCCTTTTCTGTCTTCCTTGCTTCCCCTGCCTTCCCTGCCTTCCCTTCCTTCCTCCCACTCTGATCTGCGTGAAATCCTTTTCCAAGCTTATTCATCATGTCATTTATTACCTATTGTTTATTGTTTATTGTTTGGAATGGACGTAATTCGAATTGAACATTCAAACTTTCTTCCAGCCTCAAAACATGTTTTCTCCATTGAAACTAGACTGGATTAGACTTGTTACTTATCATCATTGGCTTAATTAAATATGTATGCTCCGGATACCTTTCGATATTTTTCTTCGTTCTCATTATGTCTCCGACATTCCGCTCCCCTCTCCACTGGAGAACTGGAGAAAGGAAGCATTGTCCGCAAGTGAAATGCCGATAACCGTACAGCTACAGCTAGTAACGCTAGTGTACCGGTACATCTGATCTACAATGTATTATTAGGTATTTGTTATTTACCATTTCGTTCTTCAACACTCCTACGAGTAGACATTTAAACATTCAAACCTCAAACCTCTCCCATCCTCAAAAACTTAGAAGTGTTTACCTCTTGATATTTGCATTTGGTTAAAGAGATTACTAAACATTTGTTAAGCTCGTAAGCATACCTAGTAGAAGACGGAATTCTGCTGATTTCCCCATTTTTAAGCCGAAAAATATTCATCCCCCAGTATTCGCTCATCAGTCACTCATCACCTGCATCATTCCTGCATACCTAATGAACAATTCCGTTGATTACTCATCAATACCGTACAATGTCGAGGAAAACTCACCGTCTTGGCATTCGGTTGAGCTTCGGGCGGAGAATCCATGCCGACTTATGCCTCATATTCAGCTTCACCAGGCAGAAATCTATATCCATGATATAGAGACGGCCTGATAATCATCCGACCGAGCAATATCCGCGGGATAATGTTGGTGCCTGGATGATAGGGCACCAAGGTATGCAAGCCTGGATAAAGGAAATGGTGATTGTGTTATCGATATCTGTGTCAGCGAGGCTGAAGTTTTCAAAGTTCTAAATATTTCCCTACATACATCTACATCTACACAACTTCAGCTGCATCCAAAACAGCCAGAATACTTCTCTTCCAACCAAATTCCCACACTCTTTTACCATTGACTCAACACTGTAATTAACCCTGAACTTCCACAAGTACAAAATTATTTTTTTACTGCACTGCCACTAACAGATACGAGGGATTCCTGTAGATCTCATTAATACGAAAAGGGGCAGCCGCGCGCCTCATTCTTCTTCTCTACAATCGACATCTTAATCGATTGGAACCAACTACCTATCACCACTTTCAATACTGTCACTAATTTTACCACGTTCACTACTTTTACTACTTTCACCACTTTCACTACAATATTAATTTACTTGTCGCTTCCATCCGTCATACACCCGCTCCCACAAAAAGAAACAAAAAATGACTGTCACGAATGGAGTTACAAAAGGTCTCTTTGGACCTGAGCTCGTCTCCCCTGAAGTTGCCAAATCCCTTCCCGAATCATATACTCTTCGCGCATTACAAAAGTCCGATTATGCTCTCGGATTCTTAGATGTTTTACGGGTCTTGACTGTCGTTGGGGATATCACCGAAGAGCAGTGGAATGAGCGGTACGATTGGTATGGCAATCAAGGGAAGGGTGGTTATTATCTCTTGGTTATTGAAGATCAGGGGAAGATTGTCGCTACTGGTGCTCTGATTGTAGAAAGAAAGTTGTAAGTACATCTAGACTACTAAGGTTCTGCACGTGGAGCGACGAATACTGACGCATCTAATAGCATTCACAACCTCGGTCTCGTGGGTCACATCGAAGACATTGCTGTTGCGAAAGATCAACAAGGAAAGAAACTTGGATTGAAGATGATTCAAGCTCTTGACTTTATCGCGGAGAAGATTGGTTGTTATAAAAGCATATTGGACTGTAGTGAAGCCAACGAGGGATTTTATGTTAAATGTGGTTTCAGGAGGGCCGGGTTGGAAATGGCGCATTACTACGAGCATTGATGACAAGCATTGAGAACAAGCGTTGATATTATTGGATTGGATATACAGGTACAACTTCGCAATGGTAAGCTTGGGATTGGGATAAAACATAGAGCGTCATAGATGAAAGGTTAAAAGGGCATCATATGCAGGTTTGATTTTGGTCAAGAATAAATCAAATACTAACTAAGAATTCAAAATAATGCATGTTGGATTACTGGAATTTTGCTCATCATCTGTCTGTTAAAATCTCATTATACCTCCTCGAGGCTTCAAACCCACTTTGGCTTCCTAACCGCTTTCTTTTTTCTGGCAGAGCCAAATCCAGTTCTTAATCCAATTGGACTTGACTTAGTAACAATTTTAGGTTCCTTCTTGATCGGTATTCTGGTAACGCCAACAGGGCTCATGAGACCCAGACCAGAGTCTCTAAATCTTATATCCATACCATTCCTTCTCGGAGGCAGTGAAATAATGGTTTGTTTGATCACTCCCTTCCTGTAGTTTGTGATGGGCACAGAAATTCCTGCCCCAATAACCACCTCGGAAGATTCGTCAAACCCATAATTATCAGAGTCTACGGACATTCTCCTCACTCTCCATCTCAAAACATCCTCCTCAGCCTTCTCCAATAGTCCGCCCAAACTTATACATCTCTCGAAATTATAGTTCAATCCAGTCTTATTACACTCTTTGCCATCCTCAAACACCGTATTACTCAACTTTCTTTTCCATTCATTCACTGCGTTAATCTGAGACTCCGAGTGACTGTCTCTTGCTCTAGTACCGTCATTGTGACTCGAGAGCGGTGGATTAGCAATCCACCTATTTATCTCTGCCATGTTTAATTCTTCCACATATTCTTCGACCACATCAGCCAACTCGATCATCTGCTCAACTTCCTCTTCCATGATCAATACCATTTCTGTCAACCCACCAAGTACATCCCCCTCCAAACCATCCAGCTCCTCGCCACACATCATCTTTTCCCCGGTGATTGTTTCCATTATAGAAGCAATCTCTTGGAGCAAAGATGCGAGTTTGTGGGCGGTAGTTTGGTGACTTGAGACAGGAGCCTTTGGAGTTTGCGGGAGAAGCTGGAACGGGGGCAATATTTCGGATTCGCTTGTAGAAGTCATTTGGACTTGCGTTATGACATTTGTATGTCTTTTCGTAGCTATCACGACATTGTTCTGAACTGTATGCTTCGACATTTGATATTGTCGTAAATTGATGCCTGAACGGTGGTAAGGATATGCAGCTTCTAGACTCTGTTTGGACACTGAGTGAGGGCTTCAACAAAAGAGTAATTGAAGATAGGCCAGGGATTCAATTATCAACGAAGGACTTTATTTTCTTTCGGACGACGGAACCTTTGATACGTTTCCATGGGTATATGAATTGCAAAAATCTGTACTAAAAATAGCAATCCCACATTCCAAGATGAGGAAATAATAAAATGCGGTTGGCATAGGAATCTTCTTCATGCCACCGGATTTTTTGAGGACCTCCCACATCATCAATCAGGAATGGCATGACGGTATTAAATTTTAAGATATAAAAATCATGCAAAGAATTGCGCCCACCTGTGCTTATCAAGGGATCGGGCAAATTATCAACCAGGGCTCGTATAATAAAGGAGAAAGAGTTTGGCCAATCATGACCAGTTCGCACGGTACATCATGCAGTTGTGAACGCATTTAACCGCGAGCTGAAAAGAAGCGAAGAATGTTTTGTATTTGTATCCCGGGACAAGGAATGAATCTGTCTGTTCTCGTTTCGTGTGAGCAGGGTTGGAATTGATAATGATGTCCAATGGTCCGAATGGGCAGGTTGAATGTGGTCATTTAATCTTTGAAAAGTTGTAAATTTTCGAACTGAAACAATCAGAATCTTTGAACTGGATGAAGAGTCAAAAAGAAAGAAAAAATCTTTGATGGCTTGACCACAATTTCAACTATTGGAAACCCTCAGGGCATGGAAGCGGATTCAATGGTGCCACAAATGTTGAAATATCTATTGTAACAGTACCATCCTCCTGGTACCGGTAAAATTCACACGAGCAGTGGAGAAGCTTTAACCATAGCTTCGAATAATTCATCCGTACAGTCGGAAGATCAATGAAACCGATTTTCTTTGGCCGAGACACCGCCTCATACACAAAATGCATCTTATACCAGGCTTCATCCTACGTATATCAAAAGAGATTGAACCTAAGAAGAGCCGCTGGGCTTCACTACGCTTGCATCAAGTATCTTTGAAGATTGAAGGATCGCTAGTTCCTTGGACATGTACCTTCACGGTCTTTTTCTTCTTGCCCAACCCTCGAAATCACATCAACTGATTTGTTAAAGCCCAAATATTCAACATCATGATATATTCATTTCAGTTGTACCCTTCGCTGAAGCACTTTCAATTCAGCGCCTTCTGATATCATGTCTGCATCCATTTAAAAAGATGCGTTGTAAACTATTGGTTTTGGTGCTGAGTGCGTGTCCAGTTTTCCCCCTGAGCGCGTCGAGATGGCCATGTGGATTTTGTTCCCCCCTTCCCCAGGAACCAACCTTTATCCTCTTATTCTGTGTCTCATTCTTCTTGTTGTACGAAAGGATTCGCTATTTCTTCGCTGCCATCGACTGGGCTTATTCCAATGAGTAAGGTTCCTCTTGCAACCACTAAACCCAATGCTCTCCATGCTTCATTTCCTTCATCATCTGCAAAAAAATTCACATTAGTACGAAATTTTTAAAATACTAGGAGGGTTTACCAGTCAACTTTTCCTCCACATCATCCAAAACCAGATTCATCAGGGCATCATAGCCCTTCAAAGTCCCTTTCACTATGAGGATTCATGTTAGTAACCTCTCTAATTTTACCACAAAATCAGTTACAAACCATGTCTGCCACCATTGAACTTAACTGTGACCTGCTTATCCATGTACTTTCCCAAATCCAAGATATTTTCCTTCTTTGGTTTCTCGAAATTTCCCCCGCCATGTCCACCCCTCTCCCCACCATGACCTCCTCTACCACCTCCCCTGCCACCTCTGTGTTCACCATGACCTCTACCAGCTCCACGACCGCCACCTCTGTGTTGACCCCTTTCAGACATCCCGTCGCATGTATGAGAGAAGGCTGTCTGTTATGTGTTGGGAAGAGAGTATGTGGAGAGTGTTGACGGTACCAAGTAATTCTAGAGCTTTTGTTTTGAGTACCTAGTAGCTCCAGCAAATGATGCAAGCCGCTAGAACATAGCGATCTAAGTGGTTGAGATGGGAAGGCTGTGGAGGCAAGGCTGAAAATATGGCTGAAACTTGAATGTGGCGGGGTAATTTTGGCACAGTTGGGTGGGGTGGCTTTTACTTTGGCGATTTCTTTCTTTGCCAATTCCAACTTGAAGGACCTCGGGAGCAAATTATCACGAATTTTACCTCTGACTTCAGCCGTCCAACACTACCTAGGTATTAGCAAAAACTATGTCGGAGTGCGGGATCCAAAACCCCTCTCTCTAAATTGAGAAAAATTCATATTCTCATACAACCAAGAGACTTGTCTTGGACGCAGGGCCGCTGGCCACTGTAGGGGATTTCTTTTGAACTACATTCCAATCCAGATAATACCCGTTACTATAGCAATCGACTTCATCTTTGCGACAGTGAGTGCTCATTCATAGGTAGGTGCAATTTCTCAAAATCTTCACATTCTTGACAGTCATGTTTTATTACTACCAATAGCACATTCCATGGCCAGCACATTAAATCACATGTCAAATGATCTCCAATTCCACTGTCAACGCCCGCCACCATTCAGAAAACATCATACCGCATCATGGGACGAGTATACAACAAACATCTCAGCCCTACCAGATTCGACACTCCATCTTGCTCGCTACGAGCATGAATTTTGTAAGTCCGTTGTCGAGGAAGCTTTAGTTCCCGAATCCTACTCGAAATCCCTCATTGACAGAGCATAATAAGATGAATTTGCAGGAGTTAGAACCTCGAGCTCTGGAGGCCCTAAGTGAAGAGGAACACTGTCAAGTAGAGGACACAAGGGAAAATGCAGTAACACACTTCGAACATCTGCCACAGATAACTCGAGAATCGACGCTTCTCCCAGCGCCAATTGCCAATGCTGTCAGCTTGCTGACAAGGTCTTCCTCTCTGTATATTCGGCTTGGCACATTCATAGGAGGTCTTGCTATAGACGGTGCGCGAGTAACAACACTCACGGGGTTAGAAGTCAGTCGAGCTTTCATTGAGGGGATAATACATCGTGCCGGGAAAGATGTGGCAAATCGTAGTACCGGAGAATTGGGAAAGTTGGAAGCAGAAGGATTATTAGAACGAAGTATCGCAAACTTACACGCTACTATCACAGGAATATCATTCGCTGCGTCTACTGGGTTTCACTTCTCTTCTGTCGCTTTATCTTCAGCTACGGACATCTCACAACAGTTACTTGGTACCCTAGATTCAATCCTTGGTTCAACCGATTCTTCAAGGGCCATAGCAAGCATCATCACCTTGATTCGACGGGAATTTCAGAACCCCGCCACGGGAGTGGAAGGAGAAAGAGTCAGTGTGGGAGATCTCTTGTTGGGTATATGCGGGTTAGCATTGTTGCAAAGATGGTGTCGCAGATTGACCGACCTCGAGTGTCGAGAAAATAAATATGAGGAGGTGCTTTGGGATGTGGTCGTCCTCGATAATGGACGACGAGCGGATGTGGTTGGTATGATCAAAAGCGATTCATATAGTAATCAGGAAGACCATCGAAAACTATCCTTCATGAATACAAGAGGCGATGAGCTGTTGGAAACGATTGAAAGAGAAGAGTTAAGCCAGACTGACCCAGTGGAGGAAAAGGCGGAGAGTGTATTGAGGCAGAGGTTAATTCAATCTTTACCCTCCGATGCTTCTGTTTCTATCAAAACCTCCACAATAACGACTACTACAAAGACAATTACCGTTGAAGTTTCTGGATTTGGACCTCCCGTTTTTTTACCACCCCCCGGTGTGGAAATATTGGAAGAGCATGCTTTTCATGTTGAAGCAGACTCGAATGCTGGGGATAAACAACCAGAAATGCCCTTGGTACCGAGGTATAGAGTTGTATATGGCATTGTGGGAAATAGGTTACGAAGTACAAGCGTTATAGAAGAAGATTTACACCCGAATATAGAGGAGGATACGGATATAGAGGATACGGATATTGATGATGATTCCGGTGATGATCACGACCACGAAGCTCTCAACAAAGCAAGCCCACCCAAGACATCCACAACGACTCTTGTAGACGATCCTTTGTCTACAGAAGACGACAATCCCCCCATTATTGTTCGCCGAAAAAGTTACAGTGGAAAATCTAAAATACCCAGGCTCTCCTTACCCAGCACTCCGGACGAGAAGTTTGAAGGGAATATGGAAATTTTGCACTCAGCCTCAGACAACTTGGCAAAGGCAAATCAAAAGAGGTCAAGGAAGCCCATTAGCCCAATGTCACCGGATGACACTCCTAAACCAGCTTTCCTCAAGCCAATTTCGAGCAACCGTATGTCCAAGCGATCGAAATTCGAGGAACCAACCACGGAGGAACCGGATAAAAAAACTTCTTTCCGCCAGGCCTTGAAGCGACGATCCAATACTAAATTATCAAGTTTATTCAATAAAGATCGAAATAAGGAGGACAGCAAACCCAAACTTCCACCTCGCCCTCGCCCAACATGGGGTGACCCCACTCATGCCTCCAAAGTTAGATTTAACTCGTCACATCTATCAGTCCCTCCGAAACAATCGAGAAATGTTGTGGGTTCCCCAATAATATTACGTGGAAACCAGATCCCCTTGACATCGAAAAATCTTGACAGGATCCAGGCTGATTTACCTCGCACTCCTTCGAGAACCAATTGTTACACGATTCGCGAACAACGAAAAGACTCCATGGTTTCTCAGACTGATACTTATTCAATCCACTCTTTTGACCAAACACGTTCTCATTCTCCAACCACGTCGAGGGATCGAGTCATGGGGCAAAATAATGCTCTGAGGTTGAGATCAGAGAGGAGTTTGACCCTCGAACAGTCGTTTTCGGCGCCCAAAACCCATCGCCGCACTCGTTCAAATGAGGAGAGTATATTCACGTTGCATACAAATAATTCGGAGATTTGTCTGATTCCAAATTCTGGAACCGAAAAAGCAGGTTTTGAAAGTAGAGAAGCATTTGATCGTCTAATGCGTACTGGTACAATCGATGGCACATTTCCAAAACGGCATATCGTACAAAACGTAACTCGTTTTGTCAGGTTCGCATCAGCTTCTTACGGTTCTAACTTTCTTCGAGTAATGGGAATCTCGGATCCTGATGCAAGGAAAGAGCTTGATGCAATACATCACCTTGAACATCAATCATTTTCCTCTCATACGCAACTACCCGCCGACACTATTCTTCTCTCTTCATTCGTTGATCCTCAGGGTGGGACTGACTCCAGTGGATTGACAAATACAGGTGTTCCTATGGTTCATTATGTATCGCTTGACCATCAATCGCAGGCTGTAGTCCTCACATGTCGTGGTACCCTTGGCTTTGAAGATGTTCTAGCTGATATGACCTGTGATTATGATGAGCTTGTCTGGCGCGGTAAAGGATACAAGGTTCACAAGGGAATTCATGCCTCTGCTCGTAGACTTCTTCAAGGTGGTGGAGGTCGTGTTATGGCTACAATTAAAGCAGCACTGGAGGAGTTCCCTGACTACGGGTTGGTTATGTGTGGGCATTCTTTGGGTGGTGGCGTAAGTACTTTGTTGGCCATCATGGTTTCCGAACCTGCTAGCTATGGTACATCTTTCGTTACTTCTTACAACCCCGATCATTCATCCACATCCGAAAACGCTACAAGCAGCTACTTTCATATGCTGCACCTCCCACCAGGTCGACCAATCCATGTCTATGCCTATGGTCCGCCCGCAACCCTTTCTCCGTCCCTTCGATCTGCAACCAGAGGCCTCATAACAACAGTAGTCAATGGTAATGATCTTGTCCCTCGCCTCTCCCTTGGTCTGCTTCACGACCTTCAAGCTGTAGCACTCGCATTTAAGAGCGACAATTCTGGTGCGAAAGGCGAGGTAAAGAGAAGAGTCTGGGCAGGCATGAGTAATTCATTTTCAGAAAGATGGTATGGACGATCTGGTCATGGGAATGATGAAGAAGAGGAGGATAAATGGGCATATGCTGCACTCAAAGCGCTCCGAGCTTGTATGTTGAGTAGTAAGCTGGTGCCACCTGGAGAGGTTTTCGTGGTTGAGAGCATGGCTGTCTTGAAACGAGATGCTTTTTCAGGGAAGGGTGGCATGACCGATGGGCAAAATAGTAGAGGGGAAGGTGGGCTAGGCAAACCAGCAACTAGAAGCGTGTTGAAGTACGTGAGAGATGTTGAGAAGAGATTCGGGGAAGTGAGATTTGGTGGTAGTATGTTGTTGGATCATAGTCCGGGTAGATATGAAAATAGTTTGAGGGCATTAGGAAAGGGTGTTTTAGGGAATCAATGAGTCTTTAAAACAGGATGTTCCGTGGCACCTTTCGTTTCCAATGTTAGATTCGACAATCTAAGGGCTTTCTGGGTTAAACCTGGGCATGATGATAAATCTCAGCTATGTGCTAAAGAAAGTGATTGGTGTCTTATAATTTATTTTATACCTGTCAATGAATAGCTTCTACCAAATTCACCATCACCTCTAGGCCAAGATGGCTACGTTGGTTATCATCTTTGCCACTTGGGCATCTTTTGCTACAGCAACACGGCAATCATTACCATTAGTCGATCTAGGATATGCTGTAAACCAAGCTGCTATTGAAGTATGTTATAAATGCTTCCACAGTACATTTTTAAAGTTAACATCACGACGACTACTGGAAGTGGAAGATATTAAAACTTCTCACATATAACTTTTAAAGAACTATTATTGTAATAATTATAACGTTATAGTAATTACAAATAAGAACTTTTTATTTATAAGATTAATATCATTATAACATTTATCATAAGAGCTATTGATATCATTCACTCATTCATGCTACGATAGACAGATCGCTTGTAGTCTGTATAGTGTCAGAGCACAAGCAGCAGATCATATATCGAGACATGCAATAATCACAGAGTCGATCTATATCTGAGTACATGTCGCACTCACTACGTCTGCTCGCGACGGGCTGCTGTCCAGATTAATAAGTCCATTCGGAAGTCTGAACATAGGGAAAGCGAAATCTTGAAGAAAGAACTCAACGATATGTTTGGCATCATCATTGACTCAACCAAAGATATACCTATGATTTGGACAACCTTAACTGACCGTGCTAAGACACCTCGATCGGATGAGGATTTGTTCTTCTACAGCCCTGGAGATCTATTCTTCAACAGCCGGAATGTCGCTGCTTCACTCCACAACGACATGCAAGAATTGTCCTGGGAAGGATTAGGAAAACTTTACGAATGGCCGTGTGTTATAACTAATCCGTTTCATTACACCTTCATATTCTGCTAACGCTTGACAACATAGAGACATGTATGAAGTGCACTTTTCTTGTTGGGGCTTCACAGCTGCCTGGACGACTTGCGACTTAAACAGCGCTCGCTCTCACAATCCAGTCGCGCTCTGCGATGAATGATGAAATTCTAACGACCGAGTTTATTGCATTTTATAGACTTGCTTATATTGCTTGGATGAATGATAATAGCACTCAGCAGCAGATTGAGACAGAAATGATGGAAAAACAATCGCCCCAGTCCTATGCATCTCGGTCTGCGTCACGAAAATTACATGTCAGTGTGAAGTGTGTATATATGAGGTTCAAGCTAACTTTCAAATGCCAGATCCGACTTATCTCCATTCACAATCACAATATCCGAATCCTAAGCACGGTCATTACAGAAGAATACTTCCTTTCATTTAGGGAGGATAGTCCACCCAGCTCCAGCAAATTGCATGTCCATATCAAGTCGATTTCAGTAGCCGGATACAATGATGCTGAGATGAAGGATCTTGCAAACGAGCTGCTCAGTACAAAAGAACAAGTGGGACCATTGGAAGCTGTTCACATCTTACCTTGAGCAGGTTCAGATTCCAGACAGTCAGATAAGGACGCGATGGGGTTTTGAGCCATTCGGGTATGGGCGAGCTCTGCACGGCTCATGCAGGTTGCCTTGGGTTCATGGTGAATTTATGATACTGTGGGATAACATTTGAGAAGAGAGATTTCTAGCTCCATCTTGGGAGTGCCTTTGTATAACTAGTTGTCGATATGAAGAAAGGTGGTGGACTTTGGAGGGAAGTTTGCGACAGTGATAAGGATAAAGGATGGCAAATGACAAAGAGAGAAGTTAATTTCTTATACCATGTACAACCACGAAAAGACTAGGGCCGATTTCATTACATTTATAAATAATTGAGATAAATCTTGTAAAGAAAATTTTCCTTGAGATTAATTGTATTCTCCCTGTTTTTATGTTGAGTTTACAAATTCTTCTAATTTATGATTGCATCTATAATTCCGATAAGTCTAGTCTTCGTATCTGCCAACTTTAAAGATAACCCCCAAAATTAATTAACAGATTAATAATTGCGTCATCAACATTTACAGTCTGGGCGGTGGGTGGGCATCGCCTTAATCCGGCTCACAGGTACTGAAATATATTGATTTTCTTTTTTAATCGTGATCGCGTCGGATTTGGGTATTTTTATTAAATTGCTATCTAATAGTGTATAGTCATATAAGAAAAAGAACAAGTTTCATCTTTTATCAAAAAATGATATAAAAGAAAAACAAATCCTTCAATATATAGGTACCTAGCAATACCAATTCCTAGGTAGCGAGCGATAGGTAGTCTTTCCCTTCGACTTCCCCACTTTAGCGCAGCTGCCACTTGTACTTGTAAGTCTTAATTACCTATCTAGTACCTATACACTTGATGATTGTTATCATTCTATTATTACAGTTTTGACAACATTATTAGTCCTTTCAATGGATACCTTATCTACTCTATTGTACTCTACTCTACTCGACTCTACCATGTAGTACTATGATACTAGCATATGCTGGAAGTTCAAGGTTGAGACCCTGTGGTTCGTCTTCGACGGGACTGCTGGAGATGAGGCGGGGTGAGCTCGAGGGAATTTATGAATTTGAATGTAAATATGGATATGAATATGAATATGGGCTCGATGAAGTATAGAGTAAGACAGGAAGGAAGTTGTGGTATGTTGGATGGGAATTGTTTGAAATTTAAGAATAGGAAATCTTTATATTTTCACAGCTGGATACAATGAATGTTACATAACCTAGCGAAGAGGCAGGGTTTTTCTCACAAAGTTAGACATTGAAATGCTCTATGAACGAAAATATTCTGGTAAAACATTGGAGATGGGAACAGTTTGTTCGATCAGTAGTTAATTGATAAATTATTCATTGATAAATTACTCATTATCGTATCACATAGACTCCGTATCCTAGATTAAAACCCCCCTAAATCGCATAACCAGCACTATTAAGTTGCCTAGGCTCACCAGCAGCCTCAAACGTTCCATTCCCTAATCGTCTCAGTGATTGGGCCGTCGAAGTTCCCAAAGCCATGAATGTTACATTGGCTCCGATTTCTCTGAAGAAAGCCGTGGTCTCATTGCTGTAACCCTCGACTCCGAAAGTTGGATCTCCATATTCAAAGGCGGCGGTGTTGGGAGATAATTGATCGTGGAATCTTGGTTGACGCGCACTTTCTGCTGAAGTCATATTCTTGTCGAGTACGTTCCAGAGATGCTGGATTACTTCTGTAATGATGCGGGAACCACCAGCGGAGGCATGAGAAATGTAGACGGTGCCGTTGGGGAATTCGACGATGGTGGGGGAGATGGAGGAGAGGGGTCTCTTGAATGGTCGGATGAAGTTTGCTGGGGAGGGGGGGTAGCCGAATGCGTTGACTGCGCCGGGGATGGAGAAATCTAGGGAATTGTTAATATAATGTGCGGATTTCGCGGTGAAGTAGAAGTCTTACCATTCATCTCATTATTCATTACGACACCGGTCTCTGGAATCATGACTCTGCTACCAAACACAGTATTAATTGTAGAGGTCAAGGCGATCGTAAGACCGCTCTTGTCAGCAGTAACACTGGCAGATGTTCCACTATCGGAAAGAATTTCGAAATTTGAAGGATCGTAAGCAGATACATTCAAAGTTTGATTCTCCTCAATCTTCGATCGAACTTCAGCAGCTGTGGCTTTTAATAACATTTTATCTTGGTAACTTGTTAAGTTTGCGAGGAACTTGGGATCTCCCAACAAGGTTCTCTGTCCGTAGCCGAAGCGCATTCCCTCGTCCAAGTAATGTGTCGAGTAGTTCAGCTGACTTGGGGTCGACATATCATAGCCCTCGACAATGTTCATTACACTGCAGACTACAGCACCACTAGATGGCGCACTTCCACTAAAAATTTTGAAGCCTCGATAAGTGGTGTTCGCGGTAGCTCGGGACTCGATGGTGTAATTTTTCAAATCCGAAAGGGTCATGGTCCCATTTGCTTTCTGGAGTGCGGTGATTGTGGCATTTGCAATGGCGCCTGTGTAAAATGCATCTGGACCATGTTCGGCAATGACTTCAAGCGTATCGGCATAACGTTTCCTGGTTATCAGATCGCCCAACTTCACTCGAGTTCCATTTGGAGCAAAGTCAATTGCCCAAGTTTCGTCATAAGTCAAGAAGTCATAGGGAGTTGTGGAGGAAGCCATGTAGCGCACTAAGTCGGCGGTAACATTGAATCCATAGCGGGCGACTTTGACAGAGGGAAGCACTAGCTGTTCCAAGGCAAGACTCCGTATTTTGTGTGAATGTGCTCAAGACCACGTAGCTCTCCTGGTACACCGCTTGCCAACCCGCCATAGAGGGAGGCAGCTGTGTTGGAAAGAGGAGGATTGTACATAGTTTCGAAAGCAGCGGCGGGAGCCATCTCACGAAAATCAACAAACTCATAAGTTCCATTGGCTGATCGCACAGTCGCGAAACCACCGCCTCCGATACCAGAATGATACATCGCAACTACTCCCACGCAGAGCTGTACTGCGACAATCTAGTGAAAGTGTTAAAATAGCTAATCAAGAAACTTCAGATTTATGGATTAGCGGACTTACGGAATCAGCGGCATTTCCTCCCTCTTTCATAATATCAATACCGATTTGTGAGCAAATCGAACTTTCGCTAGCAACAGCTCCATTCTTTGCATCCTGAGTATGTTTCGAATACGATGGGATTGAGGTAGCTTTCGCAGCAGGCAAAAGTGCCAAGGCGAAGCAAAGGACTCGAGAGAGGTGAAGAGATGGCATCATGAGATTTCAACCCGGGAGAATGAGTTAGAAAGTGATGGATGAGGCAATGAAGAGGAGGAGGAGGACGGACTACTTATAAAAAATCATGACAAGTGATGAACATCGGACTTCCCTATCAATTAGCTTTCATCGACCCTGGTACCTGCAGGAAGACATGACACTGCATTTCAAGAAATACTTTGCAAACAAACCAATCAAACGCAAAAAGATGATTCATCATAAAAACCACAATATTCACTCATCGGCCGCGTATGTTCATTGTTCCTGGTGTTCCCTATCTACTGATTGCGGGAAATGTTAAATTGAGTTGGGTACGAGGTACTTGCTTGAAGATCTAAGTGACCGCAGCCACGTTGTGATTAGACGAGGGGTTTACCCGCAAAGGCGGGGAACGTTAACCGGATATGGAAGTTCCAAGCTTAGAATTGAAATGAAATCGGTAGATATTAGTTGTTTTATTGGTAGAACGTATTGATAGGCCATTCTTGTGGATTTGATAAGAAGCTTTTCCCTATCTTCCCTCCGCAGTATCCTTCGTATAGCCTGCAAGTTAATATATGTACCTGCATAATAAGAATCTCAAATTCGGGGCTGGCTGTGGATAACGGTAGAACTTGGTTGTGATCTCAACGTTACACAGGTACAGCATCTAGAACTTCGATTAATTAACTATGTCTGGCATCAAAGATTCCTACCGAGTAGTATATAAGAAAGATTAGATCTCAAAATAATAATTTTATCAAGACGGTCAAAACTCGGTGAACTGAATGAACTGAACTGCTAGCTAGCTACGTTATCACAAACACAGAATAGAGTTCTGCGGGATAAAAGTTGTTCAAAGTGTCTGTCTAATGGAATATAACTCAACAAAATTGGAGCGGGATTGGGGTAAAATTCAAAGTGAGGTGGCTCATGTAAAGAGTTACTCCTAATTGGTGCTAACTTAAGATCTTACCTCATTTTCACCGAGTTTTGACTGTGACCTTACTCTTACAGAGTACATACTTACACGTACTTACAGCTCAAAATAATCATGGTACAGGACGGTACATCGAAGTCCGTCCGGTACTTGTACGTACATATGCATATGTAGATGGATATAGAAAGTATACGGAGTAGGTAGCAGCACTCCACTTTCAGCAGATCCGTGTAAACTGAAATCACACTCAGCCCTTTTGAAATAAGGTTATTTATCATTTCCTATTTCCAAGTGGGAGAATCGACAAAAACTTTGGAAATATATCGGAATTTGGTTAATTTAGTTTCGTGATCCATCCAATCATACTCCGTACACTCACAATCTTATCCCATAATATAGAAAGTGCACATCGTATCTGTCGTATCTGACGAGTTTATATGGCAGCCTCCCTCAACAAAACGCACTGTACTCTGCAATTACACATGTATCCCACGAATAGGCTGAATTGCCGTATAAAGTCAATGCAGTGATACACATTATCAATACTTAATAAGGCATCTTTGGCTGTGATACAGACTGTCTGATTGGAAGAAGCCCTTTGAATAAACCATCTCATCTTACTCTTAGCGAGGCATTCATCCTACAAAACTTTATTCTACTCAAGCCATCTCAGTTCACCGAGTTTATGCGGTAGTGACGACGGGAAGTCTTTAGACCACAGGATACCGCCAAGAATCCTAGCCAGAATCAAATTGGTTTATTATGCAGACGTCTGAGGTACAATCCTTCACTCTGGGCGCAAAGTGTTGGAACCTCCGCAAAATCTATTTCCGCAGTCGATGAAATAACCATCTTTACCATGGGAACATTCAAAAGCATGGGAGTCGGAATGACGTAGTGCATTGATTGGTTTCTCATCATTTCCTCTCATGAGTCTATCGTTCCCAGGTACCAAAGGAAGCAGTATCGAACTAATGCAATATCCACCTTAAACTGAAAACTACCATCGATTACAAACTCCTCTCGATAAATCTTACATCCCCAAGGTATCAAAAATGCCGCTTCGCTCTCGACCCCGGAAATTGCTCCAATATGTACCCACCAATGGTAAATGCCTCACTCAGCAGAGTTCATCCCAAAACTCTCATGTCCTTCTAGCTTTACGTTATATTCTCAAAAGCCTACTAGTATCTATAGACTGGCTGTTTGCCAACAGGGACAGAGTACCTCGGCTCGTCATCCTCGTCATCCTCATCCCTCTCAGGAACGGCAGCATGCATGGTGATATTGTTTATGCTACTATCCTGTCTTCCCATATAGCTTTTCGTTTCCTTGAAACCAGGGTGATAGGGTTCGACACCATGGGTATCATTGAATTGACCAGTTGCTCTTGGTGGTTCATCAGAGGGAAACGGCGGCCTCCTCGATGAGCTTGGTTCTGGGTCACTGAAAGGGTTTCGTTCATCATCTTCATCATCCATAGGTGCTATATCTCCCGGTGGCGGGATTGGTGGCGCAGGTCTCTTGCTACTGCTCGCGGTAGGTTTGGAAATTTGGTTCGGTGGTGGACCTGGCGGTGGTGTAAATCCCGAGCTTGTTCTGGACGGAGGAGTAGTATTTTCCCCGTTCCCAAGACCCATCACTTTCCGCGCATGTAGTACGGCTCTTTGATGTTGATTCATAGCTTTGCTCAACTGTTCATTGGTTTCGATCAAAGTCTCCATGGTATCATTGTCAGGGCTTGGATTTTCTGCAATCATATACGCTTGCACACTTCTGCTTGCAGACTGACATCGATCAGCAAATTCGCGGATGAGTTCGTTGGCGAGGAGTTCGGAAGGAGGAGTGGATTGCACAACTTGGGAGAGAAGTTTCGCGGAAGTGCGGGCCTCTTCGATGCGGGAAG